ACATAATGCGGCTTCAAAAGGATTCATTCTGTATTTGTTTCATTATAGACTTGCTTTCATATATTTTACCAAAATGTAATTAAGTATTTTGTTAATATTTGTTTTAGCATCTCATTTCTCATTGATTGACAATTAATATGTGTACTCATATACATATATATAACATTATTAACAACATTTGTTTGATGTCAGAAGAAAGTATAGTATTTCATTAATATTAACAGCTTAAATAAAATAAATAAAATATATTTCTAAATGATGCATTGCTTAACATACAATCTGCCACTCACAACACGCGAATGTGTTTGACATAAGAAAATAAATTATAATAAATAAATTGAAGAAATTCTGCATTTATAAACCACGAAAAACTTAATTATAGACTGTGCTGCTATATTGAAAATTGTTTTCCAAAGTCGAGTGACGTACGTTTCTAAACAACTGAATACTTAAACACAGTTCTATTTTAAATCGTTTGACGTGGGTTTTGTTAATGGGAAATACCCTTGTTGTTATTAAATTGATATTCTTTTTTCAACGTTGATGTGATAATATGATAAATGATAATTATTGTTTTTAATAAAGAATATGACTAATGCACACTTAAAATACGTCTCTAAAATGTTCATATGAGTCAGCACATACTTTGTATTTGTAAAGAAAAGTCACTTGGAAATCGAGTTGATTTTTAGCCCTATCGATTTGAGTTTAATTCCCACACGATTTGTAAAGTGCTATACGAGTTTATTCCAAAATATGTTCTGCTTTAAAAGCTGTTATGTTGTTAAATCCATTTTGTTTTATCTGCCTGTTGTGCTGTTCGTTAACAACTTCTTTAGCACAGAGACGAAGGTCATGCTGTAAGTTCAGCTGCTTCGGTTCAGGTGATGCCCAATTATGGCGCTTGCTTGTTGTTGCAGTTGTTGTTGTTATTGTTGTTGTTGCTCTACTAAACAATCACCTTGAACTTGAGGCAACGAAGCACCCAAATGCAATCGGGTGCCTTTCCCTTTACGAGCATACTTGTACTCTCGTCGCTTGACGACAGATTGCTTTAAAAATATGAACGCGATTTCCGAGTGTGATTTCTGCTTCGTACTCGTCGGAGCAAATGTCGGACAAACGGACGGCCGTCCGTCCAGCTGGCCAGCAATTGTAGCGCGTGTTGCGCATTCTGAGCGCGCGTTACTTTGTTGCTTGGCATACGGACCAACGACCGTCCTCGGAAACTTAAGCGCATTCCATAAGCAAAGTGACATATCCGTATGGCAAATTTTTTGTTAGTCTTCTATTCGATTTTGAGTTGATTTCCATTTCTGTATAGTATATTTATTCGTATCGATGACTCGCGCTGACGTGACCAAAAACAGCGTAATTCAGAAGTTTTATTTCTGTATTATTGTTTTGTTTTGGTTGTGTGCGATTAAGTTTTCATTTTCGCGCTGCAATAAAACAAATCAACGCCAAGCCACAATCGAAAAGCGCGCAAAGGGCAACAAGTTGTAGGCAACTGGTCTGCAATTTAGTTCCACTGCCAGTCACTGACCGCTGGCCGACCTTGCGCATTAATTTAGTCAAATTGTCGGCGATTTAGTATTAAAGTTCAATAGTTTTTTACGTTGCCAAGGCAAAAGCTTAAAGTCTATTTAATGATATATGTTTGGTATTATGCTTAGAACAAAAGACTAAGGCAACGAACTTGCTGCCAAGCAACTAAATTTTGATAAGTTGCTTATGGAATTTTACACATGACTGAAATAAACCAATTCGATGCGATTTAGTGTGACAAAATTATGAATATAGTATTTACATATAATACGGGGTTAAGCAAAGGTGGTTTTTCCACAAATTTATAAAAGCAAATTAATAATAAATTATAGTAAACAAGTTAGTTGCAGTATAAAAAAGTATTGCCAGCAATCCGCCTCACAAATCCACACATTGTTTATTTTCAATGCATTTATACTTCCATTCCATATCTGGTTTATATTTGAATTTAAACTCTTTTTTAGGTAACCAAAGATCTAATTACTAAGTAAAGAAAAGCAGCTTTAAAGGAAAATCTGTAATATAGAATACACAGTAAGTGTTGCTTTACAAGAGTAAAATAGATAAACCCTTTTATGGTGATAAAGCTCTACAAAAGTGTTTATCAAGACGATTTGTTTACTAAAGCGCTATTTAGATGAACAAGGTAAATATTTATAACAATGTGAATTAAAAAGAAGAAAAATGGTCTTGGCTCTAGAATATTTATAGAATTCAATAGACAGGTCTGACGGTTTATACTTTTTTAAACATCTAGATTTAATATTTTTCAAGTTTGGAAGTCCTGGTAAAAGCATTTGACATAATAGAGAAAAAGAGAATTAAGAATGTCAAAAAAAAGGAAGTATAGTATGACAATACTTTTCTACTAAAGTTCAAATTTAATATCAACAATAAATATATAATAAGGTTTGAAGAAGGCTAATGAGCTTAGAGTTAAGAAAATCGATTGCTTGATAGTATTTGTTGGTCGGTTTTATGAAAATATTCGTGAATGCTGATCTAATTGAACCAAGTATTTGAATATTATAATAGGAGACATATAAATGTTTTGAAACAAGAAAGTACCATCCAACAAAAAAGGATGAAAAAACTCTTTTCTATGTTCTTTTAAATAATGATGTCGAAATGATCAGAGCAATTAATTGTTGAGGTCGATTAAGCAACAAACCTGTGGACAAAGCGATTAATTACGTTTGAAAGCTTCCAGCCGATGATTTTAAAATGTTATGCCTCACAGGCATAACTAATTGAGCAAAATAATTACGTTTTATTTTTAGTCTTTGCTGTAATTTTTAGTATAGCCTGAGAGAGGATTCTAGATCTGCATAATTTTGTGAATTCATTTTATTCTATTTCGATCTAAAAATGGAAAGTTAACGTAGACTAGAACTTTAGTTATGCATAAAAGATGTTATACATTCATAAACAAAAGACTTAGGTAACAAACTTTGCGATAAACCATATATTTCTATTTTTTTGCCATTGAGTTATATTTGCCTTTTATTGTATTTGGATTTTTAGCAATATTTTGGTTCAAAGCCCACAAAACGAACCATCAAAGTCAACACTTGGGATGCCGAACATGCATATTTGTGCAATGCTGGTGCGTGTGTGTTTTATGGCTAATTTAGCACATCATAAAAGTGGCAGCCACCTCAGTGACTGCCACCAACTGCCACTTGTTCTGCCTGTTTCTGTTTGTCTGCCAAATTTGCGCCCGTCAAGTCAAGCAGCCAAAGCAAACAAATCTCGATGAGATCAAAGAGGCAATAGTTGCGTCGCACGGTAGTCGCTACAAAATTAAATATTAATTACATGCAATGCAACAACAACAACAACAACAGCAGCAATAGCAACAAAAGATGCTAATTCAATTAGCAATCGTCAACGACTTCAAGTTGTCAGCAACGGCATCATTATTGGAATGTTTTTTCAACATTTCTTGCCACCATTGCAGGTTGGGTCTAGGCTGGAGATTGTTAACTAATTAGTTTTTAGAAGTTCTACAGCATATTTCATTTATTTGTTTATAGATATATAGATATAGTTTCCAGCTACAATGGACAATGGCCACCTTGATATTGATAATTAAGTTGTGCACAGCAAAGTGAACGAGTTTTTACTTGTCTTAATGATTTACTTTTGAAAGCAACAGTCAAGCAAGCTCAAGGTCGGCCAGGACTTGGCAACCCTCAGTGCTGCCCTGCTAGGTAAGTAGTGCCCATCACTCTCATCAAAAACTCATTTAACCCAGTAATGCAGCTGTGTGTGATTTAACAGACGTTGGCCGTATTACTAAAGGTTCTCTACAGCTGTAGGAATCTGAAGGTTCCAGTGCAATGTCAGTTGCAATCTTTATTAAATTTATGAAATTGGAAATAGAAAGCTTCCCCAACGTATTGCAGGTGTTTTTTAGACTTAATTCTCCTTTTGTTGGAGTTTTTAAAGCTTTTTGAACTTTTAAAAGGCCCATGTTTCGTCTAACTACAGTATTTTGCGGCTTATGTTTGTTGATCTAATAAATAAATAAGCGATAATTTTCTGCTAAGCTCTCAAAAATATTCAACTCGTTTTTTTGCGTTCGCCAATTCAATCGAAAATCTTTGTAATTACGAAATCGCAAATGTATGTATGAGTGTACAAATTAAATAGAACCTTGATTTAATTAATTTCAAAGCGAAATTTCACACATATTTAATAGGACTACACTCAGAAAAAATGAAACTATAAATATGTTGGATTTAAGACTATTTTGTTTTTAATATCTTAAAGAATTTATTTAATTGAGTTTTTTTGAATCCATGAATTCAAAAATGGACTAGAATTCCCAAGTCGATTTCGATTTCCTTAGTAAAAGAAATATCATTATTTACATCAATTTGAAAATGTCTTCCTTTCAAAAATATGTTTTCATTGAAACAGTTAAATATATCTACATAGTAGAGAAAACAAATAAAGTAGTAAAAATAATTTAAAAATATAAAATAAATTTTAGAGCCTGAAGAGCATTTTAAAGCATAATTTCAAGTTTGTAAATATCTGTCATATAAATTTTCTAAGAATATTTAAATAGCTAGACATTTCTTCTAACCATTCGATGAAGTCTCTCAAACATGTTTGCTAAATAACTTCGAATCTAATCTACTATTCTATTTGTATCGTCTATAATCTTCCCATCAATTATTTCAATTTTTCAAAACATTTATCACAAACATTTCTTGTATGGATTCTTACAAATTTTAGAATTCTAGCGTATATCGAATATGGGTTAAGTCGCGCAAATTGTACAGAAAGCTTTGTTCGAGCTTTTTCAGTTCGAAAACTGTTATTCGAAAGGTGGCGCGCGCAGCTTAGTGCTCTCCACGTTTGCTTTAGTTTGTGCGCTCGCTGCCTTTGGTGCTCAGTTTTATACGGACAAGCGTTTGAAGCGGACGCGAGTGATCGGCATAAGAGTGAAAAGCGCGCGCAGGCGCAACAATAACAACAACGCTAAAGCAACAACAACGACGACGACGAAGCGAAGACGAAATTTATTATTTGTGTTTACTTGTTTGCATTTGTTTGTTTCTTGTGTTATGCCATTAACGAGGCGGAGATAAATTTTAAACAAAAGGCAATAAAAAAAATCAGCCAAAAAGTTTGCCAAAATAAAAACTATAAAAAAGCGAGTAAACAAACCCACAAAGCCGCAGTCCAAATTGTTGTAATTTTTAAACGGGTAATATAACGGTTCGAAATTATAATATTGCCATTTCTATGTTTATTTACATATATGAGCTGTGTGTGTGTGTGTGTGTGTCTGTATTTGTTAGGCATAAATCACAATAAACAGAAAATATTTGCGTGCTCCCAAAACAAAATGCTCGAAAAGTAAAAATTGTGCCAGTCGATAAAGTTTCAAAAGAAAAAAAAGCGATTGCAGAAAAATGTACATAATTAAAGTAAATAAATATGGGGAAAATATTATAAGACTGTGAAAATAAACACAACAAAATGCAATGGAGCGCAATGTATACTGCAGACAATGTGTGGTAATTTGTTTATATAAAGCCACGATACGTAAAATTTATAACAATAGGCTTTTATAGTGCGCGACGGCATGAAAATACAAATTGTGTTGTAATATGAAGTGCAAAAATTGTTAAATATAATATGAAATAATTGGAAAAAAGACAGAGAAACATTTTGTGTACAAGTTGTTTGATGTTTTCCTCTGCGCGTTTCTCTTTAAAAATGTAATGCAACTAATGTTCAATAGACAAGCAAAATAAAAATTTTAAAGTATCTATAAAAAAAGGTTTTAAAAACGCTATACTTGGATGACTGAGAGCAACCGGAATTTTGGGAATGCGGTTCTTAAATAATTAAACATTAAATTAAACCGAAAAACTATTTAAATATCAAATAAAGATCATTTTTATCGATTATTAGAATTTTTGAAAATACCAGCAGAGAATTAATCCAAATAGTCACCAGCATAGATCAAGATGCATTTCGAACGTATGTTTTAAGCTGGCTTTTTCTTCCGAACTGGTACAAGCCTTTATCCTTTAGCCAATCAAGCGAAAATGGGAAGTGGTTGATGGTTTTTGTTTTTTTGTCAACAAATCAATCCAAATTTTCTTTTTGTTTGAAAGGTTTAAAAATAACAAAATTAAGCCCAACAATAACCATTTAATAACATTGTTATCATTTTCGATTTCTCCGTATTATTTCTCTTTTCTGTAGGATCTACGTTGCATATGTACATATACATTGTTGCTCTATTTATATTCTGGCCAAACAATATGGTCATTAATGAATTTAATTCGTTTTGTTAGATGTCTTTTTTTTTGTTGTAAGAAGAGGCTCTGTGCTATTGTTTATACGCTTGTCTACATATTCAATTTATTTCTTTTAGTATTTGTAGAACTGGCAAATGGATTCTGCCTTGAGCAACTTATTTATTTGACACAGCGCGAGGACGTTTACATGTTTTAGGGTCTGCTATGAATTTTATAGCATTACGCACCATTGTAGGAGAACCTATAATTATATGTTTGATTTTGAATTTTTTATAGTTCAGTTTTATAGTTTTCTGGTGTTATACAGCAACCAAAGCTTTATGTTTTCTTTCGTTGACCTGGTGGAAGCGAAAGTTGTCGCCTAGCACTAATTTCCTGGCAGACTTTCTTTGTGGATGTCTACGTAATCCTTGTGGTTCATTATGTGGTCGATATATACAGGATTGATTGCTCCATTTGTCGCCAAGCAGCGATCCGTTCTTTCCCTATAAAAGTTGAAGTCCCTTAATGCCAAATATGTTATTCTTCTATGTACTATTTGGCATAATTCACTTTATAAACTGCTGATACTCGCTTTAGTTGCTTCATCCGTGAGCTAAAAACATTCTCCATTTCCATGAAAGCCTAACAGCTGTACGTCTCCCACTCGTACACACATGAAACGCATAAAAAGCATAAAATTCAAATGAATTAATTGTCCAATATTTAGGGATTAATTAAAAAGCCATCAATCTTCAAAGTCCAAAATGCGCAACACATCAAATGGGAAAACATAAAAGCACGAACCAAAATGATATCAGAGCGTTTTTTGGGGGGAAAACGTGCACGCTGTTTTTTTTTTTCTTATAGCCGTATTTTCCCTTGCTTTGTTGTGCTCTTAGCGCTTACTTAACGCTCATTTGTTTATGTCTATTTCTTCTTCTTCAATTGTGCTTTTGTGTGTTTATTTCGGGTGTGTGTGTGTGTGTGAGTGCAACAAGTGACGAGCAAAGCGGGCGCCCATTTTTGCGGCCTCTGCTTATTTTTTTTTTCTCGCTGCTCACTCAACAACTGCAACTGTAATTTCCCTGTCATGTACCAGACGATTACTTCATCGCGGCTGCAACGTTTTATTTCCTATATTGGGTGTGCTGTGTGGACCAGACACCCGGCCCCCTACCCACTAGCCCCCCGGCAAAGTGTGTAACTGACCCCACACGACAAACTGACCAGCAGCACAGAAGAAAAGAAACAAAAAACACAAAAAAGACACAGAGGAAAAATGGCAAACCCAGTAAATTGAACAGCAACGAACAAAAAGAGAAAAAAATGGCATAAAAAGCCGGTTGAAGGCGAGAGACACTTACATATTTACACGCACCAGCGCTCATTGAACACAGCAATGAAAGCAAAAGCGGCGGCAACAACAACATTGCCAGCAACAATAACAACAACAGCAGCAGCGTCAGCAGCAGAAACAACAAACAGGCGCGACACAAAAACCTGTAGTGCCAAGCTTTTAAAACATTTTCAGTGTTGTTGTCAGGGTCGTAGCAAAGGGGGAGGAGGGAAGAGCAGTTGATACGTTTCCATCACTACTTTGAATTCTTACAGAACTGAAACTATTTAATATTTGATGGAAAAAAAAAAAACAATTCCCTTATGGTTAAATAATCTGAATGAGTAGCTAGTTTTTATTTCAAGTCATTAGCGATGTAAAATGGTAATACCAATAATTTCTTTATATAATATTTAGGGAACATGTGAAATAATCATTGAAAACTATAGCACCAGTTGGCCAATTTTTTCTATTTGTTTTTTGCGATTTTAAAATATATAAAGAAAGAAAAATTAAGAAATTTAGCAAATTTAGTTAATTTTTAAAATCTTTTAGACTATTTGCATAATAGTAAATTCCGTTACATTCTAATTGCTCTTCATTACGTTTTTTTATTATACATAAATACTTTATTATTATTTACGAACGTTAGTTGCTAAAAAAAAATAGTCAGCCATAAAAGTGTGGATTTATTTTGCAACTTCTGATTTTAGTTTGCTTCCAAAACATAAGTACTTTATCGTCATTTCACAAAACTTTCGCAACGAAAAAGGCATTCCTCACAGACTCTGATCGCAAGTTTTTATTTTAATATTGTAAATGTAACCAAGATTCATTTACTCAGCAATTTAGATCTTGACCACCCCTAAATGAGATCCTGGCTACGCCCATGCTTGTTGATTATGTCAATTTTTACATGTTCATGCGTTGGCTTCATTTCCTCAACGTGCAGACAAACAAACAAACGGAGCGGCAGCAATTTCACTTTCGTTGGACTTGAAAAAAAAAAAACAAAAATAAATAAAAAGCTGCAGCCGCATACTTACTGAGAAACTTGAGAGCAGGGGCCAGCCACAGATTGAAATACAGAGAGAGAGAGAGAGAGAGCGCCAGAGAGAGAGGGAATGAGAGAGAACGAACGCGCATAAAGCAAGTTTTGTGCATTGTGGATGCTGCTGCTGCTGCTGTTGGCCGCTGCATAGTTTCATTTTCATTTTGTAACTGTAATTTCTGTGCCATTGTTGCTGTTTCTGCTTGGACAGCTACACAAGCTTTCTATACTCTACATACATACATGTGTGTATGTGGTATGGGGGAGTATGAATGATTTTCGAATTATGCTGCGACTCATTTATAAAGAACCAACATTTTCAAGTTCCCAATTCTTTTACATAATAAACACATTTATTTTCTTATGATGCAAGTTTTTAAATGGGCTCATCTGTTCTATCCAATGTTACTTTTTTCAGAGCATCTACCAACCAGTTTTGGCTGAGCGCTCAATATTTGTACTAATTAGAATGAAAAATTAGAATACGATATGTATATGAATATAGTATAGTACTATATTCTAAGCTATTATATAAATGTCAGTATGACTTCCATAATCCGAACAATACCAAAATAAAATAAATTCCAAACATAAGAACTTAATAAAAATAACAACATTATTGCGAATAAAATAAAGCTTTTTTTTTAATAAAAAATTGAATAAATTTTCTATTTGGAACAAAAGTTAAATCATGGCTTTAAATGTTTTTGAACTAGAAAAGATCCCGACTTTATAATATTGTCTGTTTTCAAACATTGTATTCTAATTATAATTCTTGAGGGCACAAAGAATGTTTGCAGCTAGAAAAGTAATATATTTTAAATACTCCTGATCTTATGAAATTGTTCCATTCAAATTTTGTTTTTTAACACACATGGACAAATATTTTACTAATCTTCAAAGGTTATTGAAGGATAAGTTTTATATAACTTAGAAAATTACTTTATGTGGTGTGTGTGTGTTTGTATTTTTAGACAACGATTTAAGCTTTTTCTTTCTGGTATATTACGAAGATATACTTTTAAAACGAAACTGGAACTTTTCAATTAAAAAGAGTGTCCATATCTACATATACATACGTATGGTATAATCAATGGAACATTTTTTTTTTTTTTTTTGGTTCAGCTACTTTCTAACCTTTGAACATTTTCTATCCACTTTCTTTGCATTTACTCTGCTTTCCTTTTAAATAATAATTCTTAGAAAAGCTTGTGAGAGTATGCGAGCTTCGTTGCAGGTAGGCAGTGTGTCTTGGCTCGTTTCTGTTGATTTTGTTGTGTGTTGCTTTTCGTTACGCGTTTACGTGTGAATGTAACGTAGTGGCGAGACAAAGGCGGCACTAACGTAACAGTATGTACTTGTATGTTTTAGTTTTGAGGCTTGTAATATTACCACATGAGGCGGCGTGCGGCGCTTGCAACGCGTTTTACGTTTTTGGTGCCAAGTCCAACGCTTAGCGTGGAGTTACATGCGGCAAACAGACGAACTTACATACACAAATACCCACAAACATACATACATACATATAGACACATATATGTGTGTCTGCACCGACATTTGCGGTTGCTTCGCTTTTGACGCCTCTTACATACAGTGTTTAATTTGATGTAGATGGTTGTTGTTTTTGTTTTTGTTGCTGTTGCTGGGCTGTTGGGCAAGCAATCGGGCTAATAAAGCGTCCATGTAAAAAAATAAAAAATAAAATATAAACCTTTGACAGCTCTTTATATATGTTTGCATGTATGTATGTGTGTGTGTGTGTGTGTATGCCCGTTTGCCACACACATGCCACAAAAATGCGAAGGTCAGTCCATATAGGCACGGATTTTTGTGTTTTTCTCTCTTTATTTCAATTTTTTCTTTACATTTTACATTTACGTGATTTTTGTGCCGTCGCGTCGCCGCGCTGTTGTCAGTTGCGAAAAATTCTAATTATAAATGAAACAATTTATTACCGGGTTTTAAAAATAAAATGCAATTTATGTGCAAAGTCAGGCCGTGCCGTACTCGTTAAACCGGTTAACAGCGAACTAAAACAACAACAACAATAGCCACAAGCGAATGAAAACATTGTAAAAAAAGGGGCGCTGCATAAAGTATTTTTTCTTTCTGTGTTTAAAGAATTGTCCAAACAAAATAAAACGAGGCATTCACAAATTTTCAATCGCTTAAATTAATGTTGCTAATTAAAAACACACAAAGTCTAGCTAGTAGCAGCTGCAAAAAAAAAAAACATTATTTATAACTAATTTTGTACAACACTTATCTGAAAATATATATTGAACAAAAAAAGAAGAAGAAAAAACCAAACAATAAATACGCTGAGCAAAAACAGATGTGCAAATAAAAAATTAAATTATAAATGTTCAGCAAATATTAATGGAAAATATGAAATACGTGCAATTTTTTTCCGCTCTGTACATATATGTGTGTCAGTGTGTGTCAGTGTGTGTGTGTGTGTGTATTTGCATTTGACTTGGTTCATTAATCAAGGCGAGCCAATCAAATAAATCAATTAATAACAAATGCAAATTTTATTGTTTAGATGTTGTTAAACAACTGCCGCTTGAAGTGAAGCACAAAAGTACACAAATTTTAAACGACATTTTCATTGGATTGACAACAAATTCAACAATAAGACAATATTTTTATGCCGATTTCAACTTGACAAGTTTGGTAAGTACAAACAATTTGGATGGTCAAATATTGTTGAATAACATTTAAAGTTATTCCACGATTTAGTTAAGACAAGCAAATAGCAAAATTAAGTATCACTAATTGGTTTGAAAATTATTTGCATCTCTGACCTAATATTGGAATATAATTGAAATTAAATTAAGGGTGTTATTGCCTTATCATTATCATAGATGGGAAAATACTGTGAAATACCATTTTAGTTATTCCTCGATTTAGTTAAGGTATGGTCAGACAGACAAATAATTGGCACGCGGATTTGTCGAGGGCTACAAGAGCACGTCATAAAGTTAAGTTAAATAATGTTAAAGTTCGTGAATTAATTTATTGGTCTGTGTTCATTTAAATACTAAATTTTTCATTGTGTGAAGAAATTAATGATTTTGTTCATTTTAAAAAGTGGAGTACGAATTTAATTGTAATCTTTAGTATAAAGTTTCATTCAACTTTTAACTTTAAAGAATGAATAGTATAGAATATTATTTCAACGAAGAAGAAATCTGCAATGGAACTTTAATTGATTTGATTTTCTAAATCCCATTCTGGAAATACAATAAACTATTGAATGTTTGACAAGCAATAAAAGCGGATTATTTTAATTATTTTAATTATTTTCTATAAAATTATCACTTTCTTGCAAATAAATAGATAGAAAGCTTAGCTGGAAAAGGGAAAATTTTATTAAAAAGAATTTACTGCTGACGTGACTGTTTTGTTCGTATAGATTGCGTATAGATTTATAAGTTCAGATTACGATTTTTAAAGTCAAAATAAAGACCATCCCGTATGCAAGAACTATATTAGAACAATTACAATTACTCTTCATAAAATCAAAGCACGTTTCACAGAGCAAGCGCTACTTATAATAAAAAGAGGCCGACAGTGCATGAATTTAAAACAGCTCTCTCTGAAATAGAAGAAAAAAGAATTTATATACATACGTATAGTATATGAGGAAAAACAAATTGGAAGTAGAAATAAGAACAAGTTGCAAAGTTTAAAATAAACATTAAATTAAATAGCTATAATATTAGTGGAGTGCTGTACGTGCTGTAACTTTATTTATATTTAATAAAAAGATCTATGTTCAATAATAAATTTGAAGAGCAAAGAACATCCTAAAGCAGCTAAGTTACCTTTGAAGAGCAAGGTTTGGACAGTCGCAAGCTTTATTCTATATATTCAATATATCACAGCAGCGATCAGTTACTTTTAAATCGGTTGCAAAGCAATTAAGCAACGACTAGGAATACGTTGAAAGTATTTTATCTGCAGGCAAATCATTCGGAATTTCCAAATGCCTCAGGTCCGTGCCACACACACACACAGCAAGCAATGGTATTCGAAACTCCATCGCAGCTTATTCCCACTGCTCGGCTTTTACAAGCCGCTAGAAGAGAACTTCGTCAAGTGTTGTTGGGAGGGAAAAACCAGACAGATCGACAGGCAGACAGACAGACATAGAGGCAAGACTCTTGAAGACACATCCGTGTGCTGGCACACGTACCTCGTGGCGTATAAGTAATTTTTTGGATTTTTAATTCTTGTTTCCCAGGTTTGTACAGTAATTTTGTTTTTATTATCTCTTTACTTAATTATATCTGTGAACTGCGTCAGTTCTTCAGCCAGCTGATGTGAGCACCCCTGGGCCACTCAGCCCCTTCACAACAACAATTTAACAATTTAACAATTTATTGTTGTTAATTTGTTTGTCGTCGAATCCGGTTCTAGACTCATTTCTGGTTTTTAAGCCACAAAACGCAAACAAATTTTGTAGACCGTTGAAATTCCTTTGTTTGTTTTATTCGCTTGCCTTATAACAAATTCTAAGATTGTGTGACGGCCTTTTTTTAAGTTGTTTTTTTTTTTTTTTGTTATTAATTTAATATTTTGTTGTGTGCGTGAGAGCTTTGGTTGACTTTATGATTATTGTTAGTGTTCTTTTTTTTGTTTGGTTTTTTTTTACATTTCCGGGTCCATAATGACAATTGCGAAGTGAAGCAAAACCTTTTCCTTTTACAATTAATTCGCAAATATATTTGCAAATAGTAGCTATATATGGTATGCCGCCTGTCGTTCGTGGATCTTTTGATATCGGCGGAGCTAATGCTGATGGCGATGCTGCTGCTAATGCCGATGCTTAAGCGCTTAGTCACGATCGCGCTCAGAAGCGTGCGATGTGTGCGAATGCAGATACATCTGCTGGCAGCTGCCAGATGGCAGCAATTGGCAGTTGACTGACAGCATCTGTTTATGTTTGTAGTGCACAGTGTGGTCGATATGTATTCGCATCGATCGAATTAATGAATTATAGAGAATGAAATAGTCTTTGGGATGAAAAAATCATGAAAATAAGCATGAGATGAAAAATTTAAATAAATAATGCTTAACTCTGATATAAAATAAACATTTTTATTGCCAGAAAAAGAGAACTATGAGGTTTTCCCTATTCCCTGGCAATAAGTTAAATATTTAAAGTTTTTCTCACTTTTATTCCTTAAATTTTTAAACAAATAATAATTTGATTTCTTTTATTCAATTTAACTTCATTGTATTTTAATAAATCAACAAATTTAAATAAATCAATAACATATTATAAGTTGAAAGAATGTCTCAATCATATTTGTTTGCTTAGTAACTTGACTGTCTAACTTGCCTTCAAATGCGATTACTAGACACGGTTGCCTGTTGGAAAAATCGGATGATATTGCATTCGTTCCGATTCCCATTAATCATAGTTTTCTTTTTAATTGAGAAAGAATATCAGTAGGTCTCAAGGCGGGCTATATAGCTCCGAGTCTGCCAAAAAAAGGAGCATTCTCAGTCCTGTTTAAAAAAGTCTTTTTCACTCAGCTCTTACTTATTTTTCCTACTTCGACAGTGTTCAATGACGTCATAATATTGCCGCATAGTCTCACAAAGGTGTATTTACCAAATGAGGTCACCCACATTAACTCTCAATTATTTAAAATAATTATTTTAACTAAAAATGCAGCAATACTGACGATTTTTCTTTTCTGAAATCATTTTCTTTTTTCTTCAAGGTGGCAATAAGTTGTGAGCTTTCTCTGCTTAAATCATTTCTAAGAAATGAGTGTATATTTACAAATATTCTTTTAAGATATCTATTGCATCATATTGCTTCATGTTTGATGACAGTGAAAGATTCTAAATAGTATAGTATTTGCTTCAAATATGCAATTTACAATAGAAGATTTTTTTGCAGCTAGAAATGTTTGATCCGATTTATAGTTCAGTCAGCTTACATTTTAGAACCCTTACCTAATCATGGTTTCCCATTATCTTACCACTGTGCGATGCTCTAGCCTCTTGGGCTGCGTCTGCTTCTCCGTCTGGTCACAAGTGGGTGAGTGGCTGAAGTTCAGTATTCAGTATTCAGTATTCAGTTATAAGTTTTTGGTTAATTAAGCATAGGTTTTTAAGCACGCATATGAAGTATGCAAATATTTTTAATTGAGTGTTGTTATTGTTGTTTTTGCCGCGCTGCCTATTATTATTGCGATTGCGAAATAAGTATATTCGCAGACAATTCAATTAATTTTTTGGCAGACAGCTGCCATGCCATATACGAGAGTATGTATGACATACATAGTATGTAGTTATAAGAGTGTTCATAATATTCAACACATTCTGAAAAAACAATTCTCTTTTGTTTCTATATCTATTCTATCTGTCTATTTTTAAATACACTTGCAGAGCTCAACTTGAAACCCACACAATTCTAGCATGAAGGGTTGGTTCGACGCATTTCGAGACGATGGCGGACCGACGCTATATTCATTCTCAAATCGTACACCCGTCACTGGCGATGTCTCCATTGTAGCCGTATCGGTATTATTTGCCACATTCTACGTGGCATTTCTGGTCATATTTCCAGGTGTTAGAAAACAGGTGTGTAGCCAGCCATCTATCCAATTTATGCCAATCATTTAATTGATATAAATAATTATAGCGTCTAGTTAGTGAAGTAAGTAATCTGCATAATTAAATTGCCACGTTTGCGTCTGTCTAGATAAATCATTTGCAACCCGTTTGCTAGACGCGCCCTTTTTTAAATTTATCTTTTTTTTTTTGCATTTGAAAATGTCACCAAGCAGTCTGCGGCTAAAGTCTTCATTCATTCATGTTTTCTTTTTAAATGTTAATGCTTATTCGAACTATGGATCAGCTACAATAGTTGCTGCCCAAACATGGAGCAGTGCCGCTTATGTAATGAGAGGCCATCAAAACATGCCAATAAATTTGACTTGCCAACAATTTATGGCCAGCTACGCCGCGCCTCCGAGCTACACAATCGAAGAATTAAATATTCGCTACCAAATAATATAATTAAATGACATTCCAACACTTCCATTACAGAAATTCACGACATTCTCGACGGTCACATTGAGCCTATTCGTGGGTCTAGTCATACTAAGTAAGTAGCCCCCCCCACCCCCTCTGTTTCGGGCATTTGAAAAACTTTGTAAACTGAACTCTGTTTCTCCCTGTTTTGTTGCAGTCACCCGCTTGGGCTCGGCGTGGCATGTGGCACATGCAACCATCATTTCCCCATACAAGGCCTTCTCACGCGAGAAGCTGCCGGCCCGCATCGGCACGCACATCGGTCTGATGCACGTCAATGTGACGTTGACTGGTAAGTTCTGGGAATGTACTATAACTTCTATGGGGCCCTATTGCCTCTAAGGATTAGTAGAATTTCTTCAAAGAATTTAATTTAGAATTTAGAAATTATTTTTCACTCTTTAATTATCAAATTAGCTGCATTAGCACTGTGTTGCTACTTATTACATAATACTTCCGTTTTCAATTAAATAATACTAGTATTAGTTTAGTTCTATGATTATAGTTTCAGATTATTGTATCTTGATTATTGAGAGAATTTAGAGAGATTATTTCTACTTACTACTTAATAATTCCGTTTTAAATTAAAGAATACTCGTATTACTTTAGTTCTATAATTTTTTTAAACCCAGATTATTATATCTTGATTATTCAAAGAATTTAGAAAGACTACTTACTTCTTAATAATTCCGTTTTAAATTAAAGAATACTTGTATTAGTCTGGTTCTTTGATTTTTGTTAACCTGGCTTATTGGGCGTTGATTCTTCAAAGAATTTAGAAAGACTTTTGCTAATGCCCTTTGCTGCTACTTATTACTTAATACTTTCGTTTTTAATTGAGGAATATAATTCTAGTTGTAAAATTTTTTTAGCCTAGCAGTTGTTTATGAACTTCTATGATTGTGCAATTTATTTAAAAAAGGTTTATTTTCAATTGGCTTCGAATCAATATTTAATCTGATCTGTAGTTGTCTGCCTTAATTGAAGAATACTCGTATTAGTCTAGTTGTAGGTTTTTTTTTTAATCCAGCAATTATTTAAGGACTTCTATGAACGCACAATTTCTTCAATAATGTTTTATTTTTAATAGTCCTCATATCAACGGATAGATATAGAAATACTAATGAACTATTAATCTGGTCTGTAGATTGCTCCTTTAATTGAAGAATACTCGTATTAGTCTAGTTGTAGGGTTTTTTTTAATCCAGCAATTATTTAAGGACCTTTATGAATGTGGAATTTATTTAATAAACTTATATTTTCAATTGTTCTAGTACTTTGAACTGATAGATAAAGAAATACAAACCAACATTTAATCTGATCTGTAGTTTGCTCCCTTAATTGAAGAATAATCGTCTTAGTCTAGTTCTAAACTTGTTTAACCCAGCAATTATTTAAGGACTTTTAGAAATGTGCAATTTCTATATCAAAGTTATATTTTCAATAGTCTTTTACTCTGATTGTTATAGAACTACTAATCAACAATCAATCTGATCTGTTTCCTTGTCATTTAACAATCGCCTATAACCTTCCAACCTTTCGACTATAGGGTATTAAAATAGTCAAATGTGCATCGCATATATTTGTATTTGGAGCAGCCATAGAGCCAACTTCTTATCGTCGCCACCTAATCTCTGGTAGTCAATCACCCACAAGCCGTTGACGGCATTCGAGTTGATGTTGCCATTTGGCTTACTTTTTTTTATTCATTTATTTTTATTTTTTTGCTGGCTCTATTGACTTGTGGGGTTTATTGTCAACGCTGTCTGGCTGGCTGGCTGGCTGGCTGCCTGCCTGCCAGATTGACTGCTGTTGTGGCTCTTATGAAAATTGTTTGTCGTTGTATTTGTGAGCTCGAAGAAAAAAAACAACAACAACAGCAAGCACTACAAAAATAATAGCAACAATAGCAGCAGCGATATGCAAGCTGAGCTTGAGCCACGTTTATAGTCAAGTTGATTGAATGGCTTTGTTGTTGTTGTTGTTGTTTTCGTTGTTGTCTCGTTTTATGATTATTAAACCACAAGAGCTTTAATTCATTAACAAAAAATATTCAATCCGTCTCTTATGTCATGACACGGAGCGCCTTTTGCGTTTAATTGAATGATTTGGCTTGCCAGATAAACTTGGCAAGAGAGGCACAACAATTGAGCAATTTTGGCTTAAAGATTTGTATCAATTGCACAGATTTAATTAACTTTTTTACTCGTGTTTCTTATTGTGGATGATGCCGTGCAGTAGCTGCATTTTTTGGCCTGCTTTTTGTTTTGGGGCTTGGCCATAATTTGTTAGCTAATTGATTGGGGGATTACATGATTTGAAGAAAAAAATCAAAAAAGGGGAAAAGAAACAAAGAGTAGAAGGGAGTGGTAAGCAGTCTGACTTGTCTGCTTAGTAGCTACTACTGCCAGCTGTTGATGACTTGTATAACAAGCTGCTGTCTATGCCAATGATATGTATGCAAAAACAGCAATAACAACAACAACTACAACAACTACAACAACAACAATAATTGTGCTGTTTGGGGCGCTCATAATGTGCGCTCTTGGGCTGACGTCAGAGGCAATGACGTTGGCGTTAGCGTTCGAGCTGAGTTGTGGCTCCCTGCCAAGTGTTTGGGTCATAACTGAAATGAAATGAAATGTTTGCCATTACACACACATACTATATGCTGTGCATGTGTGTGTGTGTGTGTGTTAGCAGCGTCAAGTCAAGCTGCACGTCACGATTTTGTATGCTTCAACAACAGCTCATGTAAATGAAATGCCACTCGTTGCGCGACTTGAACTCAGACACCTGCGGAACTACTACTCCATATGCATACTATGCTACATATCTTTATATATATATATGTGTGTGTGTGTGTGTGTGTGTGCCCTGCCATCCAGTGCCTGTCAAACTTTCAGTCCAGCTATCTGTTCGCTGTTGCTTTGCATTTAAGAAATCACTATTTTCACTTATCACTACGAGCCTAACCATCCTCTTCCCATTGGAAGGCAATTTCAGTTCCTTGGCGCTACTAAAATCATCTATATTATTATATTTTAATCTACAGCTGGATTTGTCTATACTTCAGTAGCATTTGACAGGCACTCCAGACTTCATTTTCCGCTGCTAAGCACCTTTCTAAGACTCCACTACTTTTTATAAATATCTCCCTAATTTTCATTGCTTTGAAAGCATTTCCCCCACATACACTTCTCGCCACTTGAATAGAAGACCCTGTATACTCTTTTGGAGATTGGCTCACAACTCGATAGTGGATTAATAAACAAAACGGTATTTATCTGTATCGGTATGTATTTTCTTTAAAAGAGCTGTTTTATTTTCTTTCCTCGATCTATTTTTTCTCTAATCTAAAACACTCTAAATGAAATACTTAAATTCAAATACTGTTTGTCTTTAAAAGGAGCAGAATGATCTAAGTGGTTTAAGTGGCGAAAAATAAATAGCAAGCTCTTTTTTTCCATAATTATTAATTAATAATGGTTAATAATATTGCTGTAGTACTTAAAGCTTAAGAATTTAATTATCTGTTTAGTTTAATCAATAAACTTTAATTTAACTCTTTTTTTTTGTTCAAGTGGCGAAAAATAAACAGCTCGTCTTTTTTCTATAATAAAAATAATTAATAATGACTAATAATTTTGTTTTAGTACTTAAAGCTTTATTTATTTATTTTTCCGTTTAGTTTAATCAATAAACTTTAATTTAACTTTAAAACTTTAAATGAATTAAAAAACGGAAGTTCCTTTTCTTCCTTGGCTTGGAAATAGTGGATGACTTAAGGGGTGTACTATTCAAGTGGCGAGGAGTGTATATAAATATCTATCACATACCTGATACTCTTAGTTGGTCAGAAGGGGTAATGGTTGGATGCTATATCTATCTAGATTTGCCTCACAAGCCCTTAACAGATAAAAGTTAAAATAAAGACGAGCATTTGTCAGATCTGTTCGTCTGTTCAGTGCATTCTTTTATATTGCAGCTACACTTAACGAAAAGTTTTCAACTTCATTCATTTTCATTCAATCTATTCTGTTTTCTATTTCTTGCTATATTTTCGTTCTTATTTGAATCAAATGCAATATCAATTTTAAAATCGTTGCAAATATGGTGTAGAATTCTTAGGTTTTCACTGCATCTGTTTAATTAGATATTAAGCTATCATAAAACCGAGTTCTGAACAATCAAAAGGTCTTAAATAAAGAATACAGATTTTACAAAAATAATAATAAACACCAGATTTTTTTAAATATTGTTTATAAACAAAAGGGGTGGCTTCTGCTCCGCTAGTTCCATCCATTTTTATGAGGCTCTTTATTAAATTTCGTCTTTATAAATATTCAAGATTTAAAAAAAATAATAATAAATACCAGATTGATTTAAAAATACTTTATAAACAAAAGCGGTGGTTTCTGCTCCGATCGTTCCATCCATTTTTATGGATCAGATCTTTATCAAAATTTGTCTTTCTAAAGATTCAAGATTTAAAAAAATTAATAATAAATATCAGACTGGCTTAAAAATTGTTTATAAACAAAAGCGGTGGTTTCTGCTCCGCTAGTTCCATCCATTTTTATGAGGCTCTTTATCAAAATTTGTCTTTATAAAGATTCAAGATTTAAAAAAAATAATAATAAAAAGCAGATTGTTTTAAAAATACTTTATAAACAAAAGGGTTGGTAACTCTAACGATCGGCTACATTTCTATGAGGCTCTTTATCAAATTTCGTCGTGTCCTGCCGATTATTTAGAATGCATCTCTAACAACAGCTCTGCCAGCCCTCCTTCTGCCTCAAGCTAATCAACGGTTGTTGAAATAGGATTTCCATTGAGGTTCCATCTCTAGTTTGCGCAATTTACTCAGTCATTCATTTATGTTCTTTTCCACTCTCGTTTATGCATTCGTGCACTTCAAATAATGTCTGGCAGGTGAAATGCTTTGCCAAGACCAACAAAACCAATTCAAATGCCAACCAACCAGCCAACCAACCAAGCAAGCAAGCAGCACACATATTCCTCGCCAGTCAGCAAACAGCAGCAACAACAACAAAAACAACAACAGCAACAACAACAATGGAAATAGCAATAGCAACAGTTATAACCAGGAGCTGTCATCTTTATGATTTTCCGAATGATTGAAACTCTGCTAGACACAGACGGGCATACCTAAGTATAACAGCTTTATGTGCATTATGTCGGTTTGAATATTGGTTTTGCATACACACACACACACACACACACACACATTAGATATATACCGACATGTGTGTGTGTGTGTGTGTGCTT